TTAAACTATGAAAATCCACTGCCATCGTTTCCAATCAGATTCGTTCATAGGTATTGTTAGCTTATATATAACAAGAGGACAAATACTGTCAAGTCTGAGCTCCCCGAAAATCTCCAATTTAACAAGTTAGCTATACAATCTCTCTACTAGGTTATAATAGAAGTTCAGCAACAAAGATAAATCAACTGCTCAACTGTCATTCACTAGCTTCCAACCAATTGAGGGAACAAACAAACGCCTTATCTGTTAAATGGTAAGCACTTACTGTATATAGCACTTGTGTCTCATTCACACACCAATGGTAGCAGAGCTGCCATGCAAGGCACTAACTTGCCTTCTGGACCAACTTGGGGTTCAGTGTCTTGCCCAAGACACTTCAGTATGTGGAGTCATGGGGGCCAGGAATCGAACCACCAACCTTACGATTAGCGTACGACCTGCTCTACCACCTGAGCCGCCTGTTCACCAAGGAAGAAAGTTATGACTCATCAATCCTGACTTTCTTCCTATTGTGTTTGAAGTTAGGACTGGTGCAGTGGTATAGTCTAGGTTTTTGTAACATGTATACTGTGATTTTTTCCTCCCAGCCTCATACACACTCATCCCAGAGCGACACCCCATAAGCACCAGCACACTCACTAATAATGCAAACAGTATGCCTCTACATGTAATTGAGGGCATTCTGACAGACTGCGTCTGTGTTATCAACATGTCCGTTTATTATAAGCAACACAAGACTTTAACAGCCAGTGACATTTACAGCTGGAGAGACTGGACTGATGCTCTACTGTTTAGTGTTAATCACCATCTAACTCGGCCAGTTAAGAGCTACATTTAGCCTTAGATGTTATATGAATATGGTCCGTGGAGCACAGGTTTTATCAGCTGGTCATTTTCAATGCACAGTGCAAGTCTCAACTATTATTAATAAGGATAGAAAGCTGAGGCTTATCAGTAGCAGTATTAACAATGAACATTTGTGCAGTTCTATCAGCAAAAGAATTCATTACAGAATATTATGAACTGAAATATGAGGTCACACAAAGTGGTCCACATCTTCTCAAGCACATTTATCTTCCAAAACCATTGTCAAATTTAGGCAATGTACTGTACCAGTTTAGATGCATGAGAAAGCATCCAGGAATTGCTACAAGACAAATAAGCTTCAAATAAGAAAAAAACAAAACAAACAAGATTAATAAACAAATAAGCTTCACCTCAATAAAAGTCTGAAAAGGTACTTAACATCGTCAACGTATCCGTATACAACTAGAGGCCACAGATTGGAGATTGCTGGGGATGGTACCACTTTAAGTACCAAGGAAATGGTTTTAGACCTCAAGTCCACATGTACATTCTCACTGTGGTTGCTAGGACTACGGTTGCTGCTATGGCCTTAGGTCTCCAATTACCACACGCAGTTTTGCACTCAGGTCTCCGTTAGTGAACAGTGGACTAGTTCAAAAAAACAGACTTCATATAAAACCATAATGAACTTTACTTTACTTTCACACTATCCGGTGTTACCCAGATGAGGACGGGTTCCCTTCGGAGTCTGGTTCCCCTCAAGGTTTCTTCCTCATATCATCTTAGGGAGTTTTTTCTTGCCACGATCAACACTGGCTTGTTCAATAGGGATAAATTCACACACTTATAATCTGTATCCTGTGTTTTTTTTAATGTTTCTGTAAAGCTGCTTTGAGACAGTGTTCATTGATAAAAGTGCTATGCCTATAAAATTGAATTGAATTGAACTGTGTTAGTCCACAGGTCCTGGAAAAAGAATGAAACACTCACAGACAGCAAAGCTCATGTTCCTCCTAGATTGCTGGCAGTGTCCTTGGGGTGGGGTAAGAAGGGGAGGAGTGGGGTAACTAAGTCACTACAGCACGGAGGGTGGGTAGCATACCTGTTACTTGTTGTCACATACCTCCTTGGTTCAAAAAGTCTTGCAGGGGGCCCATTGATGCTGATCATCATCAAATTACTCACACTGGACAACAACAGTGTAGATCTTTTGTCATTGCATACGTTGTTCATGAGACTGAAGCCCCTTTCACACTCGGTAGTGCTGAAAGGGATGGTCTGCATGCATCGTATGAGTGGTTTTAGGCTTTCAGGCTCACTGTCTAGGTGCTCAAGGAAATCTCTCATACCATTAACTGCTTGCTCTTCAGAAAGATTGAACCGCCTGTACAGATGTTTCACTTATGCCTCACCATGCCGTATTGCTGGCCAGTCGCCTGTATCAAGAACGCTGAGATCATGAAGCATTTCACCTTCAGATGAAAGGCACTTCTCCATGTTGTTGATCAGACTTGTAGGAACTGCTTTGCATTGATTGGTGTGAGCTTTGCATTTGACTCCAGGGGAATCGATCCAAAATGTCCCAAAGCCTGTGCTGTCAGTGTCTCCTCTTATTTCTCTCCTGGGGTGTCTTTGAATGATGCCAGCACTCAGAAGCTGGTCTGCTCTCAAGAGTGTGATTGAATGGGCCTGGAGTTACTGAGACAGGTTTGCAAATTCTGACAGTGCTTCGTACATGAGTCCAAGGTCACACAGGAACTCCTAGCTTTGCATATGACGTGCCAGGCCTCTGTAAGTTTGTCATTGCTGTTTCTTGTTTGGTCTCCTGCAGCATTTTCCACATGTCTATTGAGTGCTTCATACGACCTCCACACAGCCTTTACAGAACGGAACCTGCTGGCCACTCATCGCGTACTTAAAATTCTGCCAATTTTCAGGACTTGTGAGACCACTTCTTGCACTGTTTCCAGAAGCTTCTGTGAATTTTTATTGGACCAACTGTGGAGATTGTGGATCTTCTCCATGAACGCTTTGAAGTTGTTGACTGCCTGAACCTCAACCACAGCATCAGATACATCCCGTTCCAACCATGGTTCATGCAGTGCCATGTTAAGAGGTTAGGGTACCTCAGCCTGGTTGCCACACCAGAGATCTTGCCTAACATGACACTGGCTCCGACGAGGCGTGGCGTGGACTCCGCAAGACCTCTGAAGGTGCCCTATGGTATCTGGCACCAAGACATTAGCAGCAGATCCTTTAAGTCCTGTAAGTTGCGAGGTGCGACCTCCATGGATTGGACATGTTTGTCCAGCACATCCCACAGATGCTAAATCACGTAAGCGAAACACATGCACCCGGCCATCCACATGATGACCGGTCCCACTGTAATGTGATAATCAATGTTATTCATTTCACCTGTCAGTGTTGCTTTTTTCCATGCCCTATATACTGTATATCAAGGGTGTCCGATCTTATCCGGAAAAGGCCGGCGTGCAAGATTTATTCTATTGAAAGCCAAGATCAACTGATTAAACAGGTGGAATCAGGCTTGGTTGGAATGAAAACCTGCACCCACACCGGCCCTTTCCCGATAAGATTGGACACCACTGCTGTATATTGTACCAATGTGGGTTATTTATAGAAATAAATGTGTTTTCTAAAAAATATAACAGTTATCACTTTAACTACAACATTTAGACACAAGCTGGTGAAGGTCTGTTGGTCTTAAATGATCAGCTATGGCCTTATGACTATTTAATGGAAGATTTGGAATATTGAAATGAATCGTACTTGCATATATATTTTCAGTGATGACTTTAATAAACAGTTCATATAGTCATTCATGTTACCCTGTCTAACATCTTTTTTTTTATGTTTCTGTGTAGTCACTGCTGAAAACTATTATAGACTAAAAATACAAAAAGCACTACAAACATGACATTTGTTTCTAACCCAAATATTGAAATCATTTGTTTCAATACATGCAATTTAGATTATCTGGCATTATGTTTTGCTTTGCTATGGCCATTTCACACAAGTCCTGTGTGCCACTTTAACCACCCCAGGCAACATCCACTATTGTTCACCAGATCATATTAAGAGGACAATCATTATTTAAAATATACAGGGAATTTAAATGTAAGCCTATGTGGAGCACTTTTCTTTAACGTATGCAAGAGGGCTTATCTGATTCTGATTGATAGTGCACTGCAAAATGTCGACTGAAATAGTAGTAGTCACAGATATGTGTGAATCTTAATTGGAATGTAGCTGGAAGTTTGACATATTTTGTACAGAACCTGACTTGTATCTAATCAGACACTCCTCAACCCTATGTTTTGTTTTCTTTTGTTATTTATCAGATAGCTGATGTAGCGCAAGTACATAAACATCATCCGCTCATGACTGGAGATAGATTCTTTTGTTATGCTTTTTTGCTACGCTTTTGTACATCATTAATGTCTTGCCTGTATATCAGTTCGTCCCCTCATCATTGCTTTCTCACTTTAAAAGTCCACTCAGGAGTCTTGGTAGCTTCATATTGGCTTGATGCAGCAAGGCATAACCAAGCACTAATGAGTGATGCTATTCAGAGGTGAGTAGACAGGGTCTGGTCTGACAAGCATTTGTCTGTTAATGCCCATCCACTTACCCTTGAGGTAACATAAGGAAATGCACAGTTTAGGATGTAAGTGTAGGGAATGATTGGGGGGGGAGGGGGGTTAATGTCTGCGCAAAGAAAATTAGATGGCCCTCCTTATATGCTAAGAAGAATAAGGCATTGGGTAGAGGTTGGTTAGTATAAATGCTGGATCCAGTATCTCACAGAGAGGCTTGAATAAATGGCTCATGCTAGTTTTTTTTTTTAGTTCCCTGTGGCTTAAAAAAATTATATGCCATTAAAGGTTCATTATCCCAGCCAAGGAAGGAATAAAATGTGGTATGCTGTTATAAAAATATAATGCCGTTCCAACTCAGAAGCTGATTATCCTCCTCTAACAGGACATGCCAAAATGTTTTATTAATGTTTTATGACATGTTTTATTCCTCTTATATGATTTGCCAGTGATTGCAGTTTTTATTGATAAGGATGACAAGTCATATTTTAAAATGATTATTATGTTTATGTTATAGAACATCCACAAAACTAAGTAGTTCCTGTTTTCACTTATGTTATAGAAGCTATATATAGGGGCAGTGGTGGCTTCACGGTTAAGGCTCTGGGTTACTGATCAGCAGGTCGGGGGTTCAAGCCCCAGCACTGCCAAGTTGCCACTGTTGGGCCCTTGAGCAAGGCCCTTAACCCTCTCTGCTCCAAGGGTGCTGTATCATGCCTGCGCTCTGACTCCAATTTCCTGACATGTTGGCGTATGCGAAGAAAATAATTTCACTGTGCGCATGTACATGTGATCAATAAAGACTCATTATCATTATAAACAATCATTCCCTCACTGGCCTTTCTCTTGAAGTTAGTAAGTCCAAAAACTCAAAACCACAAAATACTGCAGTGCTTTTCCGTGTGAATACTTTCCTGTGTCAGAAAACTGACAACTGTTACAAAGCACTGACACTGGAGATTCCTTCCAAAAATGCTAAATAAACACTCATCTATCCATCTATTTTCTGTACTGCTTATATTACACAGAGTCGTGGGGAGCCTGGAGCCTATCACAGGGGACTCGGGACACGAGGCGGGGGACACCTTGGACAGGGTGCCAACCCATCGCAGGGAGTTAAATAAACATCTCTTTACAAATAACTTCACCTGATCAACAACACAGGCATTGTTTAAGGTTATTTATATGAGTGTCCACCATACAAGCCCCTGTGTTAGTTGTTACTATAGAAACTATAATGTTTTAGACACATTAATATAAAAAATGATTTGAATTACAGCCAGTAATATTGTCAGAGCTGCTGTAATAGAAAATGAATCAACACCATCTTACCAATGAGATTTGAATGATATGTTTTAAATGTGGTACATTGTAAAAATAAAAAAAAATAAAAACAACATTTTTCTAGCATTTACTATAATAATGACAATGAACTAAATACAAGATTATTAAACCTTTTTCTACATATTGTTACTCATTACAGACTTTACATTTTCTTGTTCTATACTGGCAGATTAGTTTGCTTTCTAGAAATACTAAAGTATTAAAGATGCTTGCCATGAAGGGGTTGAATTATTGTGAAACTGGAGAAATCATTATAAGTTGCAATTTCAGGTGAATTTGGGCAAACCACTTGAATCATTCGTTGTGTTGAACTATTTCAATTGCTTTTGTTTGATTTGTTCATTGCAAACAGCTGAAAGCCTGTACCTTTTGTCAATAAACCTGATTTTGCAATGGGGATTGAGTCATTTTGTTTGCAACTGTGAATGTACAAATGTCTATAAATTGGTTTTAGTAATCTTGTAATAGGAAATACTAGACATAGTATTTGACTATATTCTAAATATTTTTCCCATGCTATGATCGATTTTTTCCCAGTGTATTACACAAGGTAACAACTTGTGTACCACTGATTTGACAGCATTATGTATAGCAAAATGAATTCTTTTGCATCGTGGTGTACGAGCAATTATTTCAAGACAGCAAAGCTCTATAAGAGCTCCAACAAGTTTCCACCTGCATACATGCAGTGTAAAATGGTTTTAACATTGAGGCATGACAGGGCTATAAACAGCATTATCTGAACATCCCTAAATAATTTTTTTTAAACAAGAAGCTGTAAATTTTAGTATACCTTCTTTACTCATATTGTACTGGAGAGAAATAAAATAAAATAAAATAATAATGATTATAATAATAAATCCTGAAATAATGAATAAATGACAATGCTTATTGTAATAAAATGCCACCTATTTCCCAGTAAACAGTGATTAAAAATTATCAGCTCATTCACAGAACAAAAAACGCCCGGAAAACGCGTTTCATTATTATCCAACCCAAAAGAGCATATAAATCTGAGCCTTCTTGGACAGGTAGTATTAATGAATGTTCATTTCCTGAAGTTTGAATAAAACATTGCACAATATTTTCTTGTCATTGTGCTGACATTGCTTTGGTCTATCCTCCCCTCCCCAAATGCAAGCATTTACCTTCCAGATAATTGAACATGTCATCTACCTTGTGTGTGTGGCACTCTTGCTGGAAACGCATGGCCAGATAGTGAGGCAATTATTGTCAAGCTTTGATTGATGTTAATGCTAACTTATTTCAAGGAGACCCTCATACAATAAATAATCAAAACAACATTTGGCTAGGGGTGTTTCCACTCTGACTGTGGAGAATGGGTAAGAGATGAGGTCTGCAAAGTATTTGTATGGTTATTAATAACATCAGTTTGTGAACGTGTGAAAGTGTACGATGGTGGTAAGAATCACGTTCTGAGTTTGAGCTCAAATTTATTGTAGGAATGGCTAGTGTCGTGAAAACTGTCTAAAAGTGTCTCTTTAAGAGGGTTTAGTGTTATAAAATAATCATCAGAAATCAGTGTAATCATCAGAAATCATCAGTGATTAATGCTTAGAACTACTGATTGGAAGCTTGGATCCTTGAGCAAGTCCTTTAACCACTTTAACTTGTGCCCTGTCTCAATTGCAAATAATTCTGGATAAAAGTATCAGTCAAATGAGCAAATGCAAATGAATTCTGATATCTTATATCAACATTCTTCTCCAGCACACCATTATAGTAATCTGTGTTATAAAATTATGCAACCAGGTGAGTAATATGATGGCATTCTTTCTCTTAAATGTCAAAGCTAATAATGGTTTTTAAGCTAAGGCTGTTTCACTATTGCGACCTTTAGGGATTCTGACTTGTTTCTGCTTAGCATATGAGTGAGTGCTGTCGCAAACCACCTGGGATTAAATCAGCTAACCTAAAGTAGCAGGGTGAGAGAAAGAGAAAAAAGAAAAGAGCCAAGAAAATGTTTCTGTCACATAGCTGATCTCGACCTTTAGTCAAAAAATAATCCTTAAAGGATTTTTTGGTTATGAGGACCAGTCTGAAATGAAGGTAGAGTCAGATAAATTACAATATAAACACTTTCCAAGTCTTATCTGGACCTAAAAAATAACAGCCCACTGTTGCCATCACTGTAAATAATATAAACCGTATCGAGTATCATAGCATACAGACAGGGACGCAGGTACAAGTTTACCACCTGCCCTGAAATGCTTTTATTCTTTTAGAGAAAATAAGCTGTCTGATTCCCTGGGATCCTTCCTAGTTCCCACCATTTTATGGTGTGCCTGTGTCACACTAGTTTAAATGAAAATTTATATTGATGATAGTTTGATTAATTATCCAATGAAACTACAAATGGGAACGAAAGAATGGAGGAAGGGTGGATGGATGGATGGATGGATGGATGGATGGATGGATGGATGGAAGGGAAATTGCTGACTGAGATTCTGGCAAGACATCATGTCAAGTTTGAATCCTAAGCATGAGTCGGCAACACTATCTGCTCCACCACCATGCTGCCTATCAATACCTACAGTAATTCATTTCTTTATACATACACTCAAATTATATTGACTAAATATCCTATGAAAATACAAAAGGAAGGAAGGAAGGAAGGAAGGATGGAAGGAAGGAAGGTACTAACCAAGGGTGGATGAAAGGAAGAAAGGAAAAGAAGAAAGAATGAAGGAAGGAAGGATGGATGGATGGATGGATGGATGGAAGGAAGGATGGAAAGAAAGAAGGTAGGAATGAAGGATCTAAAGGAAGAAGATAGGAATGAAGGATGGATGGAAGGACAGAAGGAAGGAAGTAAAGAAGGAAGGAAAGATTGTTGAGTGAGGGCGCTTATCATTTCTTATTTGTGTATCCTCATTTCCTTTCCTCACATCCGTTACTAGCTCCACCCCCTTAGGATGTGAGGGAAGGATGCAAGTAGGGGTGTAATATGGCCTGGGCATTAGGGGCTGTAGCCCTGAAGATTTTTTCTTTAGCCCTGAATAATTCTCCTCTTGGAGCGGTTTGTCACTATGTAACTGAACATCAGTAAAAGAAGACAGCAGTGTTGTAACTTTATATCTTCAGTGAACGGAGGAGACCAATCACACAAGGTTTACAGGAAAATAGGTGGAAACACTCGTGTCTTATTGGCTGACAGCTTTTAATTCTGACAAACACTAGCTCACACAGTCAGTGTGAGGTAAAATGAATAAAATGGATATACACCAAAGGGGTTGAACATCTTCCAGTGCTGAGCAGGAAACCAAGGTGTGTAAATGTCTATATGAGTTTGTGAATATGTATAATTTAAATGAACATGATATGAGCAGAGCATGAAGAAAGATAATGTACAATGCTGTAGCAGCTAAACCCCTACAATGATAGCTTAGCTGTGCCTTCCTTGGCTAGCGACACCAAACTAGCCTCGTCTTGTGTTAGATAACCAAAAAGTTTTATATTTTATCAGTCTGGTCGTCCTGCAAACAGTGATAACACCAGAGGCAAGTTTTATGATAAATCCCACTTGTCCAATTTTCAATTAGCCCTTACAAGCAAGAAAAATATTCACTCAGACGGTCTATTTAGGAGTACATTTTAAAAAGTTTTTTTTTTTCATGAACAAGAATCTGGGCTCAGCCTCGAATGATTAACGGTTCAGCTAACGCCCCTGGATGCAAGGATGAGCTGTGAGGAGAGAGGAATGGAAGCAACACAATTGGAATATCCTCGCTCTCTCAAGCGTCACTTCAAAGCGACGTCAATTAATGATGACTGTGCTCAGCTGGATGACCTCACTGCGCTTCAGGGATCTGCCGTTATGTTGTTAATAACCACATTCTTAATAAAGCAAAATGCGCTGATAGTATGTGAAATGTCTGGGTTATTCAACAATGAATTCATGAACAAAATATAATTCATCGCATCTTTTGTGCAGCTTTGCATATCCAAACATGCAAGGATCGATTAACTATAATACTCATTGTAAGCGTATTATTATTTAATTATATTTCACACAAAATAACATCACATCGTCAAAGGACTTGCTATTTTAGATTGTATCAGATGTAAAGGAGGAGGGGAATTTATATGTGCATCAGGTTTTTCGACAAGATGGCTGACTTCGATCGATTTCCGGGTCAGGGGCTGGAGGACGGAGGAGCAAGGAAACGAGGAAGCATCAACTTGAGTATTGAGAAACACTGTGAGAGTCTGGCAACACATCATGTCTAGCTTGAATCTTAAGCATGTAATTCTTATAGCAGGGACTGTGTGCATCTGGAGCTGT